AGTATGGGTCAGATATGACTACACGGAAGCAAGGAGAGATCTTACATGTTGTGAAGTGGCGGGCGTTGGCCAAGGTGCTTCCAACGAGCCATCCGGCTTGTAATTCCATTGCTTGTTCGGTGTCGTTGGTGTGGGTGTGGAAGGTAGTTTCGGCGAAGCTTCAACGGATGTCGGTACTGTCGGTGTGGAGCGGGAAGGCATGGCGGGTGACGGTGGAGGAGGCATCGAGTTTGCGGTAGGCGTACCCCGCGTTGGTGGTTGCGAGAGTGTCATCATGGGAGTTCCAGCGGGCTTTACGAAAGCTCTTGGGTTCCTTACCCATTCCCTGAACTTTGCGGGCGTTATGCGGAGTTTGACTATTAGTGATGTGGGTTCAGATACGCTCTCTTCCCGCGCTTCATACCGTAGGGACCTCGACGCCCGTGGCTCGTGATGGGGTGTTTGGATATTCGAGACTTCGGGAGTTGCTGATCTTCCAATGGCGGATCGCATCGCAGCTTGAGCAGCAGTAGCAGCTCCGCGCATACCACGGGTACGAGCAGTGCCTCCAGTCATCAATTGAGCAGGTGCGGGAGACTCCATGACTGAATCATCACTATCTGAGTCGTCTGAGCTGCCATCAGCACCGCGACGACGGCCTTCTCTGGCTTTGCGCGTGGCCTTGAAGAGTTGACTGTCCTCAATCGTTTCCGCAGCGCCAGGCAGCACTGATGAAACGACCAACGTCCGAACAGTCCGTTGGCGGTCTTTGAGGTCTGGCAGGGCAGGACCACCGCGTCTGTTGACAGAACGCTTCTGGCGTCGCTGTTCGCGCATGATTGAAAGTTCGGCTCGCTCCAGGTCCGCATTGCTGAGTTCGTAAAGGTAGGGTTGGTAGTCCTTTGTTGACTGCATCGGGCGGAATACGGAGGGGAGTGGAGATGCCAGGAAGTTGTCTTGTATGTCTGTATCCTCGACTGGTCGCCCGTCGAAGGGATGTCCTGTGATGTAAAGACTTTTTGTAAACATCTGGCACTGCTCTCTTATGGAATGTGCGATTGCGGTTGTGAACTCTCCGGATAGTGACAAGTCGGCGGCCATCTGTCTCGCAAACTCCTCAGGCGCATTCAAAGGGTTGTTGATCTCCCACTCGAACTGGTCTACGAGGGTGTGCTGGCCAATGGTAATGTTCAGTTTGATCAATATCCGCATCTCGTCGTTCTTGTATGCCGAGTATGGCTGATGTGGATCCAGTGGCTCGTCGTCGAAGAAGGCGTGGGGGTAGTAGTCTTGTACCTGCTCGTGAATTTCGCGATCGATTTGCTGCATTACGTTCTGGCGCAGTTCGGGCGGTATTTGGAAGTCTTCGACGAGGGTTTGGGCGAAGAGCACGGGGTTGGTAACGCGGTCGTGGAGGTTCCAGGTAAAAGTATCGCGAAGCTTCAGTCTATCCAATTCGATATCCAAGCGCACAGGTACAAGCTCCTCAATCTGGTCTGCTTGCTGGAGCCCCTTCTCTTTCGAAACCTTGAGCTGCGGTGCGAGTCGACGGCCAGCGCGCTTGGCATTCTCAGGGTATAGCAGCTTAGTTTGCGGTAGGGCGCGCGGGTCTCTGGGGTCGGGAGGTATCTCGGTCAGGCCGTTGCCGTAGCCACCGTAGCCATATCCAAAGATGGCGCCGGGGTTCTGTCGTCGGACCGGATATACTTCGTCGCGGTAGAAATGGCGCAGGTCGTTGAGTTCGCCATAGACCCTCTCGGAATGCTTGTTGCGTTCGTACTTGTTTACACTGTCCAACAGGTCGCGCTCGATATAGCGGTTGAGGAGGTGCGTCTGCGAGGCTGTGGGTTTCGCGCCGTCGTCGTGGGAAGGCGTGTGCGATGACTTGCGGGTGCCCGAACGCGATCGCTTTCTGCTGGGCGACGCGCCGTTGATGGCTTCGGGTTGCGCGGGCGATGCCATGTCGCCTTGCGCGCCGGCGAGGTTCAGACCAGAGGCGGCCATGACGGCCTTGGCTTTCTGCTTGCCGTCTCGGATCGCGTTGTTGTCGTTGGACGCGCCGTCGGGTCCATTGATGCTGGTCGGGGCGTTGGCGGGCTGGACAGCACCTTCACTGTTGATGCCGTTGGCGGACGCGCCGTGGGCAGGATCGAGGGACTGAGAGTCGGCTAGCGGCGGGGAGGGCATCGCGTAGGAACTGTGGATGCGCGCAGCAGGAGCGACCTGCGTGTTGCTGCCCTGGTTAGAGCCGAGGCATGGAGGCTGGAAAGAGTGATGGAGGCTCGAGTGGGTCAATGGGCGTCCCAAGCGGTCGCGCCTGCCAGAAGAAGGGGGCGGACGTGCGATGCGATGGCGACAGCAACACCCGCGCCGCCATCGCCAGAAAGCGCATGCATCGCGCCGCGATCACGCGAATAAATAGCAGCAATAGAAAAAACACATACCTTTGCGAGCATGCAATTTGCGCGTCGTCACAGGTCACAGGGCTGGGCTGGGCCTCTGTTTGGCTGTCCAGGGAAAGAAGTGCCGATCGGGTAGTCAAGCGCGCAGCAGCCCGTCTGTAAGCCTTTCACAGGCGAGAGTATTGGCAGGAAACCTAAATCGGCGAAACACCTGCTGCGGTACCTTGGGCGGGGTCGCGGCCGTGGATAAGCTCGGAATGATGTGTTGTGTGTCAGGCAGAGGCATTGATGGATTTGCGCCTCGCTCCCACTTCCCGCCGCTTGCGAGCGCCGAGCCAGCCAGCCCATGACCACACTGAAGCTCGTCGGCACGCTCCCACGCACCCAGCGTCTCTGCCCGGCGTGGTTCTTTTCACGAAAGCAGAGGCCATGCTCTCCCGACTGTTCCACATAATTACACCTGCACTCCATCGTCTCCACGCTGCCCATCACGTGTGACGCCATGACGAATGCTAGCGCCTACCTAGACCGGTAAGCTCAGAGGAAAAGCCACTCGTGTAATGCAGTGGACCTTGTTCGTTATCGAATAAAGGTTGTATTTTATGGAAAGACCCGCCTAGTAGAAGAAGATAAGAAGCGTCTGGTAGTACACCTCGTCACCGCACTCTGACGCCCTCGCCTCCAGATCCATCCTAGTTGCATCAATGCTAGAAACTGACAATACCTAAACATTTCCATCCAGTCCCGGCCCGGACACGCCGCCGCTTACAAGTTCGCCGGCTATATGCGTCTGCTTTGCTTGCGATAGATACTCAAACGTGCAGGTTCGCTGCTGAGACGTGCGCTCCCCTGTTGCTCAGTAATATCGCTGCTCTCGTTGTATTCCCTCCGCTCAAAGCAGCGAGTCAAGTCGAGTGAATACACTCAAGCATGCTGCGACAACCTATGGTAAAATAGTCAGCGCTCTGTCATGTTAAGGGAAAGCAAAACAGCGATTGACTTACCTCAAGCTGGAGCTCCTTATCCTTGGAACCGTTAACTTCGTCCGTGATGAGCTGACCCAAGTTTGCGCCCACACCCTGCGAGCCGCCCTGCCTCTTTGCAAACGGCCACTGCGAATATTCTGCCAGCAGCTCGTCCACTTGAGCAAAAGCCCGTTCCCGCGCTTCGTGACCCAACGTTGTCAGGGCGTTCTCGAGGACGTTGGCGGCATACGCGGCGCAGACCATGGTGATTGTTCGGAGCACTCTGAATTCCAACTCCTCGGGGAGGAATTGGCTGCCAGGGAGGACGACGGTGCGGTTGGTGAGAACGTTCCGGACTCTGCGTCGAATTTCCTCCTTTGCGCCGCCGTCCGCGACGGGATGTGTAGCCATGTCGAACAGGAGGAAGTTCTTCTTCTCGGTGCGTAGGATGCCCTTGTCGACGAGGCCTTTGCATAGTCGTTCGCGTACTTGTTTTAGTTGGTAGCCAATCTTCATGAGGTTCCACGTCTCTCCTGTGTGTATAATTAGTGCCGAGCACCAGCCTTGGGATTGCGCGCCGCAAACGTACCGCTCATGAGGTCGATCCACGAGTTGACGCTCATCTTCTCGCTCGACTTCATCATCTTGAGGGCCTCGTCCAGCAGAACCTCTCCGGTCAACGTGTCGTCAATGACCTCGATGACCCGGTCTGCGAGGGGGAACCGTCGCCGATTCGAGTCCTTTTGCATGCTCACGCGGCCTCGGAAGGCCAATTCTATGACAATGCAGCCTCGCAATGCATAGGAGATGTTGTCGTTCCAGAACGACAGGTATCCCTATTCTCACTCATCAGCCTGCTGCCCCTAGCCCACCAGCGCCCTGCCGTGTACACACCTGTTTGTCCTTCAACCCCATGAGGATGATTTCCTCCATGAGCGTCAGCTTGGGCTGCTTGCTCCTCTCTGCATTTTCGCTGATGTCCCGGGGGTCGAATGCGATCTTGTGGCCATTCTCGGAGCTTTCGTAGGAGGTTTCGGGGGTGCGGTCGTCGTTGCGCTTGGGTGCTGGCGAGCTGACTCGGCTGCTCTCGTCTTCGCCGTTGCCTGCAGCGCCGCCGCCTCCTCTCCGGCGCGTCAGACCAGAGCTAGAAGCCATCAGGTGTGGTTGTGGAACGGGAGGGGGGTCTCGTTGAAATTATGCGTGATGCTCCTCAACGGGCGCAGGGATGAGGGCGCTTGGGCTGCGCATGCGCGGTGTCGGACTATGTGGGACTTTCGGTGAGTGCGATGTAGGAGAGGGTAGCGGGCACGGCGATGTAAAGAATAAGGGGTATCGCAAGGCGCCTGTGTGAGTTACGCGTTGGGGGTTGATTCTCGTGCCACATCAATCAGCGGACAGGGTGTCGGTCTCGGATGTGCCAAGATTAGTTACGCACGCTTCGGAGATCAAGTAAACAGGCGTCCAACAACACAATAGCCAAAGCACTGGGAGGTGGATAGCGTCAATTCTATCAGAAGTACACGGTGCCGACCCAGGCGACTGTTTTACACGGGGGCATATATATAGCGATGCCGGTAGGACCGACTCTCAATTCCACATCCATCATCTCCAATCCAGCGCGGCTCTCCAATACAATTTAGTGAGCTGCGATGTGTTAGTTTCGGGCAACTTCGGGATTTTCAAGTTGCGACTCACCATCGGGCTGGGCCATGATGTAGTCCACTGCTTGCTTGACTGTGATATCATCAGTATGTATATCTCCGACCCTGCATCTGAACGTACCGCTGTGGATGGCATCGGCCTCCTTGTCGGGAATCTCAATGCTGAATTCCTGCCTCACTGTCAGATTTGCCTTCCGAGTATCGCACGCGGGCCGACTAACCTCCTCAATTGCCATGACCACCTCTACGGTATCCAGACTGTCGAGACCGAGGTCGTTGTGGAAGTGCGATTCGGCGTTCAGCTGCAGAATATAAGCCTTTGTCTCCAGTCCCTCACACGCGGTTGGTAGCTACCTTGGAGGCATCGGTGACCTGCTTCTGCGTTAGCCACTTTCTAAAATTCCCGTCGCATAACCATTACCTTGTCGAAGTTCTTCAAAAGGTCCATTATCCTGCCGGTGACCTCATCTTTTGACAGACCAGCGCTCGCGGCGTAGCATCGTACGGCCTGGAAGTATACGGAGGGGTTCATTTGCTTTGGCTGGACGAAGGAGCTTCGCGCAACGGGGCGAGCCATTGCGGCCTGGCATCGGGGGGCAGCGCGGACGGCGGACCGGGCGGACCTGAGGAGTGCTGTTCGGAACATGGTGGACGGTTTAGGAGTGCGTCGTGCGAGGTAGCAAGGTCGGTGGTGGTGGTGATGTTGATGCTCGACTAGAACTTCAGACTAAAGTTACATTACGTTAGTCAGCCGTCAAGAGCATTTCCGTACGAGTGAACAGGCGCACCTTGAATTATCGCAACAGGTAACGCGGCTATCCGAGCAAGACTTGGAAAATCATTCATATACCCTGCTACATCACCTGAGTCAAATTTCTGACCTCGGAGTTGCCTCCCACCGTTGTTGCCGTCATTCGACTTGTCGGCCAATCGCAGCCTCCGCGTTACAAGCGACGACCTCAAGTTTCGAGCTTGACGACAACCTCCATATCCGCCAGCAACCCCCCAACCCGCCAGCGACTCCACCACGCTCACAATGGCCAGCGCAAAGCCATTGACAATGTTGGCACGCAGCCGCCCGGCTGCCACGCGGCTCCGGTTGCCACAGTTCGCGTCTGGACGCCTCCCCTCGCCCGCCACCGTCGCCTTCTTCTCTACCACCCTATCCCGAGCCGCCACCCCAGCAGGACCCCCGCCGCCAGGCTTCCGGTTACCCAAGCCCAAGCGATGGGATGAAGGAGAAGGTGCATTGGACCGCGCCGGCAAGTACTTCTTGCTCATGGAGATGTTCCGTGGCATGTATGTGTCGCTGGAGCAGTTTTTCCGCCCACCGTGAGTACTCCAATGAGCAGACTGCTCGTCTGCCACTTGGTCGCAATACGGCAATCTGACGTTTCTGAAGATACACCATCTTCTACCCATTCGAGAAGGGCCCTATCTCGCCCCGCTTCCGAGGCGAACACGCCCTGCGACGGTACCCTACCGGTGAGGAGCGTTGCATTGCTTGCAAGCTCTGCGAGGCCATCTGCCCTGCGCAAGCCATCACAATCGAGGCCGAAGAGCGCATGGACGGTAGCAGGAGGACCACACGTTATGATATCGACATGACCAAGTGCATCTACTGCGGTCTCTGCCAAGAGAGCTGCCCAGTCGATGCCATTGTTGAGGGTATGTCGACACGTTCTCTGAGTACGCGGATCAAGTGCTAATATGATACAGGACCCAATGCCGAGTATGCGACTGAGACCCGCGAGGAGCTACTTTACAACAAGGAGAAGTTGCTAGCAAACGGAGACAAGTGGGAGCCCGAGATTGCCGCAGCTGCTCGTGCGGATGCGCCTTACAGATAATGGACGGGAGCGATTTGGAATTACTGTACATATAAGGAGCGCTTGCGTCTGACACAGCCAGTCAGATTTCTTTTGTCAATGCATCAGTAAACAATACCAAGCTCACTGAGTCCATGTTCAAGAAGACACTGAGAAACATGGAAATGACGGACGTGTTAGTGTGTTGGGGTCCAACTAGATGCATTACTATTGATTTGCAAGACAGCATTGGCATTGAACAAACATTCTCCAGAGAAGACAACCTAATATTCAAGATCATAATACTCCTAACGCTCATACGATGCCTGCCATGATATGGTATCAAACGCCAAATGCCTGCCTGCCTATAATATGCATGCCGCCACCCTTTCCTTTTATATACCTTGATCCCGCCCAGCCTCATGATCATCTCGCCTTGAATGTTCCCTCAAAGCCCGGTCGCTTGACCTTCTTGCCAGGCTTCTTGACCTTCTTTTTGCCCTTTTGGCCCTTGTCCTCCTTGCGCTTCTTGAGGTTCTCCTCCCTCTTCTTCTGTCTCGCGGCCTTTCCTTGGTCGACGTTCGTGAGCCTCTCCTTCCACTCTTGCTTGCTCTTGTCCTTTTGTTTTTGTTGACGCTTCAAGCTCTTCTTCAGAAGATTGACGTCGTCAAAGACCTTCTCACCCTGTGCCCTCTTCTTGGCGGCCAGCCATAGATCCTTCTCTTGAATGTCCTTGCGCTTGTCCTCGTCGAAGGCGTTAATGCGAGCCTGTTTCTTCTGCGCAGCCTCTAGTGCTGTCTTCGCATCTGACTTGCCCTTCTTCTTCTTGGAGTCGAGGAATCCAGAGAGATTGCTCTCAAGCTGTTGGCCGTCCCATGCGATCTTGCCAAAGTTGAAGTTGCGCTCAGTCTCCGGCGACCTCGCTGGGAACACAGAAGGTGAGCCCGAACCGCCTCTTATCCGTGCGAGCTGTTCCTCTGCTTGCTGTCGCGCCTCATCCTCTTTCGCATCCTGACGCATGGCCTTCTTCGCGGCCTTCTTTTCGGCTTCCTTCTTCCTGCGCGCCTCGATCAGCTCTGCTCGGTTGCGTGCAGGGCGTCCATCTGGGCCGTCAGCCTTTCGCGCCGCGCGCATGGCCTCTAGTTTCGCGTTCAACCGAGCGCGGAAATCCTCATGTTTCTGTGGATCGATCGTGTATGGCTTTTTAGCCTTCTTCTGTGGCGCTTCCTCACCGGACTGGGGTAGTGAAGAATTTGACGAAGCGGCGGAGGCGACGGAGGCTGTGGAGGAGTTGGAATTGGCAGTAGTGGAGGGAGCAGTAGACTGACCCTCTTCGACGAGACCGGAGACGTCCAAGGCCTCTATGCGTTCGTCTGGATGTTCGAGTTCGTCTGCAGACGCGTCGTCTTCTTCATCTTCATCCTCGTCATCGTCCTTTTCAGACTTTTCGGCGGCGAGACCTTGGAACTGCGTTGGTAGCGCTTTCTTCGCTTCCAGCTTTTGCTTGTTCTTGGCCTGCTTCTCCTTCCTCTTTTCTCTCCGCTTCTCTGCTTTCGCCGCGTGCTTGGCCTCCGCCTTGGACAAAGTGACTTCTTCGGTCTCTTCTTCGGCTTCTGGCTCAGCAGGCTGTGTCTTTTGCTTCTTTGCCTTGCTCTTGATGCCCTCAAGAGGCTTCTCCTTTGTGATGTCCATGTCAAGGTCGGACGACTCGGGCTCGGAAACCTCCTCACCCTCCAATTCACGCTTCCGTTTTAGCGCGTTCTCGTCCATGACGTCTTTGGCGCTCTTATGGGAGGCAGGATCCAGCTTCGCTCGCTTGGCTGCTTGTCGTTCTTCAAGAGTCTGCTTCTTGCCTTTCTTTTGCCATTGCGTCTGCGAACTTCATGTCAGCATAAGGTGGATGCCTAAAGTGAAAAGATGCATACGCTGGTGATGCTCTCATCCTTGCCATAGTAGTCTTTGGCGGGTATCAGAGACATGAGTCCCTCGAAGGCACGAGCATGGCTCTTTAGACGCTCCTGCAGCTCTCAGTTAGCGGCGAGAGCGAGCGACAGGAGGCGGGCCCGGTGCATACCTCGAGATTGTCGCCCATTGCGAGGACAATAGACACAGGATCCTTTTCGTAATGTGATATGCCCTGGTTCAGACGGGTAGAGGGCGTAGAGTTGGCGGGGCGAGCGTGTCGTGTGCGGGTCGCGAAAATCGAGGTCAAAACGAAAGCCAAGATTTCGAGCAGACTTTCAGCGCTAGGGCCCTTCCAAGATCAGACCCACCCGCCAATAGACCCTCGCCGCCCCAGCCACCGACCATTCAGGCTTAACGCGAATCAGACTCGCGTGCTCTTTCACCAGCATCAGCCTCGCTGCCGGCAAGGTGCCGCGAGTCCATGGATGATGCGCGTCTGTCAGATCCGCTTGCCTCTCGCGCTTCACAACGATAGGCCAAGACAATTCATTTGTTGTACATGATAGTCGGTGGAGACGCGTACGCACAGCCACCCGAGCCCAAGCATAACCTCGCCGTCGTCGCCTTGTATATATCCTAGGCAACGCCCTGCTGGCAATCACCTGACAACTCCATATACTCAGCGCAATCCCACATATCAAAACTGCTAATACCTTCGCTCTAATGGCTACGCCGATCATCGAAGCCAGATCTCTTTCATCGCTTACCGCTCTTGCCTCCAATCCACCAGCTTACCCAAGGAATCCTACTCATGAGAGGCATGACCCGCTAGTACTGTACATCGCCCGTGTTCCTGGCAGCAGAGGTACGGCTGTCAACATGTCTTCTCCTACAGTAAACCTAACGTGCTTCAGATGTCTTCTTATCTCCGATGAAGCCGCGGGAAAAAGTGGTGACCGCAGAAGACATACAAAGCTCACTCTATTTCGTCCACGTTGAGCAACCAGAAGATGCTTACCTTGTCGACCCTCCTGGGTTCCAGGATCCAGATTATGCGCAAGAGAGCCAATCGCCTTCTAATCCTGTCTCTGCGCCTATCGTCCCAAGGAAAGCAGTACCCGGCATAAACACAGCTCCCATACGGAAGCCCGTTCCTAGCCCTCTGGCTCCTATCAATAATTACTCCAACAACCAGAACACTGATGCAGGCAACTATGCGCGGAGATCTGCAATGCTCGCCCCAGAGTATAGCCACAGCCCACGACGCTCATTCGATGCAAGCCAGTACCAACAGGAAAACCGAAGACCGACAGGTTCGCCACGTAGACGATCGGAGAACCCGTCACGGTCCAGTGCATCGCTCACCCTTATCCGGCGAGATCCCGCATCTGGAGCGCAATGGAATGTTGCTCGCATTGAGGATCCACCTGTCCTAGATGTCTCGTCGACATTGAATGATCCTGGCATCAAGAAGAAGTTGGGAGCACCGATGTACATCGAAGTTTTCAATCCTGGCTACTCCAAGTTTCTGCATTCCGACACCACTGACAAGCCCCCTTTGACAACACGGGATAGTGGCATGTCAATCCAATCACACAACGCAGCGTCAGAACAACAGACCGGGGCTCATCTGTCTACGAACGAAAACGTATTCCGGCGACGCATATGGATGGAAGGATCGCAGCATATAGGCGGCTTTGGACATCGGAAGCTTAATTCGTATGACTACGACACCGGACGTCCTGACTCAAGGGGGAGTTATCGCGCGCAGACCAACTCCACATCGACAGACATGAGACCGTCTCCAACTCCTCCGTTCGTGACTAGGCAAGACCAGTCATATGCTAGCATCCAGGTCTCGGATAGGCAAACCAGTTTTCGTGGTTATGTGTTCACAAGTCCGTGGAACGGACGATGCGAATTCACCACCGGAGTAGGCGGGGGATCTTTGAAGGTTATACCACTCCTGCCACATTTACGATCAATGGATGATGCTAAATACCCTGCAGTGTCGACACATTGTCCCAGGGCTTCAAGGAGCGCCGCCCACAGCCATGACGGTTAGTGAGCTACGATTCAACCTCCCGAGTAGTCCCAAACCCACTACACCCAGAGGCGAGGAAGGCTCAAAACGCTCGTCATTCTTCCGCAAAGCACGACACAGCCGCAACAACTCCTCTTTATCAGTCAGTCGCGATGACACCACCGAAGACGCTAGAAGTTCGTTGGATCGCTTAGATCTTTCTTTAGGCCAGGAATTCGCTGGTGGCGGGTTTGGTGGCAAGCAAGCGAAGTTGGGAAAGATAATTCTGGAAGACGAAGGCTTGAAAATGATGGACTTACTAGTCGCGGCGAATCTGGGATTGTGGTGGAGAGCCTACGAGAAAGCGCTTGTAAGTGGGGGCACTACAGATACACTACAATAAGCTGGCGACGACCGAAACTATGTTGGAGCATACGATTCTCATAGTGTAAGCCCGGTGTCATCTTTGGGAGGGTGACAGTCGTGGTGTTTCTCCTAGTTCCAAACGGGTCCGAGACGACACTGCTCATTGCGATACGCCATCTGATGTATCAGACGGTATGTGTAGTGAAAGAGCCATCTGATAGCACTGACCACGTAGCATCGAGCAGTCACTTTGAGCGTCTATACATGTTCTAGAGCTGACTTGGTCATGCTGGTGACTTTTCACGGCTGTTCTCCATAACCTATAAAGTTAGATCGACGGTAATCACTCCCCTTATTCACCAGTCCACTTGCACGCACACCTCTTGAGACCCTTTTTAGAACCAGCCTCTGACTGTCGCATCTCAATTTCAACAAAGCTCCTTGATCACAATCACACCACCACGCACCTTGAACGTAGCAGAGACACCAAGTCGATCAGCTTAAACGTCAAGGATGGCACCTCCAAAGAAGGCGAATGTGCCCAAAACGTCGTCCTTGTCCGCTGAACACGGACGACGCAAGACTCGTAACAGTGCCCAGACTTCTCAAGTACTGGCTGAGCTAGAGAACGATGTCTCTATGGAGCCGGAGCAAGAATCAGAAGATGATGATATGGCTCCACCACCGCAGCCACATAGGAAGCGCGGCGTCACTGCTCGTATAAGGTCCAACGCATCGCAAGAAGAGGAGGAAGATATGCTCGACAACATAACTCTCGCTCTACCGGTCCCTAAACCAAAGCAGAAATCGAAACCGATCCCATCCCTCAAAACACCTGGCGAATTCGATCATGTCGTACTCAAAGATGAGGCTGGTTGCAAAGACTTCCTCATTAAGGCTGACGGATCCGAAGAGTATTTGCGAGACATGAAAACCCTGGAGGTCCATCTCGACACAACTAAACTGTTCGCATATACAGAGGACCGTTTCGCAATGGCACTCAACAAGCTACACCCTCGGGGCGACAACGCTACCAATCCTCACGACTTACAAACCCTTCTGCTAGTCGTAAAAGGCAACATTCTCCTTACGCGTTACAGCTACCACCTCATATCGCCACACCTATCTGCCTTTGTAAACGACAAACTGAAGAAGCTAGCCGACGGCAAACTGTCCGACGAGGAAAGGGAGAAGCTACCCTACAAGATGAACAGTACGGAGAAGCTTCTCGCGAACGCGCTACTGGGTATTCGTGGAGTGAAGCAGGTTTCTATCGAGAACAAAGGAAAAGGAACAGTCGAAGCAGACTTTGCTGCGACTATCAAAGCTACATTGATACAGCCTCTAGGGACTGATATCGTGGAGGTCAGCGATGAAGAGTCTGAGTTCTCTACGCATGTGTTGAACAGGCTTAGGTCGATCTACTCGAATGCGTATTCTGGGGACGCGCTGAACCCATACGCTTCTCTGGCTCCACCGGAAGTAGAGCCGGTGAATGATTCGGAGGATTCAGACGATGATTTGCCGACCGCTGCTATCGCAGAACCGCAGAAACATGTCAGACGCAGGCCGAAGGAGGATGATCCCGTCATAATGTCTGGGCCACGGACGCGTGGAACGATGGCCAAGAAGGCTGAAGAGGTTGGGGAGAACGACGAGAATGGCAATGAAGAGGATGAGCACGAATACCATGGCTTGGGACTCAAGGAGATGGTTCGAATCTACAAGCAGAAGTCGCGTCCGGGCGATATGGATTCGGAGGGAAGGTACGACGTGTTGCCAGTAGTCCTGACGGCGGAGCAGGAAGCGGTTGAAATGGGCTGGAAAGTGTAGCACTGTCTTTGACGGAATTGTTTGGGAAAATGAGACGAACAATTCCAGAGACGGATTGGAATTGGTTAAGTGAAACTATGGCTCGCCGTCTTATGTGTCGAAATGTACTGAGGTATAGTTTGGATGTATTCATGGATAGTTCTAGCTTGCGTAGAAAAGAAGTATAGTAGAGCTATTTCAATAGAAGAGGCAAGCCAAAAGTAGCCCAGTCACACAGCTCTGCTCAGCTTTTGTCTTGTACGATACTTTGCTGAAGTTGGTGCACCGCCACAGCGAAGTGAAGGTGGCACCTGGTGGGGTAACTGCTTGTCGTCCGTGCGTAGGTGCCTTGAGCTCGCGGGCGCGGAGAGCTATGTCACCTCCGCCTCGACAAACAACATTTAGTTGCGGCAACATTACACGTTTGTCCTCGCTATTCAACCAAATCCCTCCGTCCTGAACAGGAGCTCTACTGGAAACCGATCCAACACACTGCACCGACAATACGCAGGTAATAGCGATACGATACCCCACCCTACATCGCCGCCTCCGCCTTGCCTACGTACTCGAACCACAAGATCCCTCCACACCGACGCGACAATGTCGGCCGAACTCACCTCTATACTGCTGTCGTTCCAGCCAGATAGCCCAGACCTCGCAAAGCGGCGCGAATATGATTCGAAGGCTCGTTCATTTGTCTCGCAACTGAACAATATCCCGTCGTCACAATGGGCCAAGGGCGCAAATACAAACCAAGACGTTCTTTCGGTAAGGATAGCTGACAGTATCAGCCCGGAGGCCGCTGACTTTGCAGATACTCAACCCCGCCGTGAACTCAATAGCATACGCCTTTGCTCTCCGCCACCGCATCTCCGCTATCCTCGAGAAGAGAAACGTACCCGATACACTGCAGCCCGGTGGTACGTTATGGAATCAGCTGGTGCTCTTCCTGGAGACTGCAGACCCTATACAACTACGCTATGTTGGGAAAGAGTGGAGATACCTCGTCGAGCAGACCGAGGCGATTGCGCGGGCATGCGATTCTGTAGGTCGGATAAAATGCTATTCGCTGCATGAGATGCTGACTACTGCAGGCGAGCCTGGCTATTGCGCCCATGCGGTCGGCTATGATTCGACTTGATGCTTCCACAGGCACCTTTACTTCAGTCCACCTTTCCTTTATACGTCTATGCATGGAGACGCGATCGTACGCGGCCGCCGAACCGATCCTCGACAACTATATCCACAGCATCCCCCAGAAGATTGCCAACGTCGTCCGTGACGGCCTCGAATACTCAGTACCATGTGCGGACGTCGCGAGCAGCGGGGAATACATACATCAGAACTCTGGACATTCAGACAAGGTGTCGCTGACGGATATAGAAGAGTACTATGTTCTAGGTGCTCAGGTGTATCTGGGCCTTCGGCAATTCAAGAAGGCGAAACAATTTCTGGAGCACGTGCTGGTTATACCTACGACCAAAACAGCGAACGGCTTGATGCTGGAGGCGTACAAGAAGTGGGTGTTGGTGAGCTGTCTCGTAGAGGGAAAGGTATGTTACAACCAAGCAGTACATCGCGGACCAAGCTGACATTCGCAGGTGGGCACTGTACCACGGACCTCAAATGGAAGCGCGATCAAAGATATCAAGGCTGCGTCGAAAGCCTACGAAGCCCTGGCGGACGCATATGAGGAGCTGGACAACATGTCGAAGCTGAAGGCTCAGGTGCAGGCGGGTAGTGAGGTTTGGGCAGAGGTATGGTCATGATACACTGCAAAACATGCAACGTTTGTTTCATGAATACTAACAAGACGTGTAGGACGGCAACGCTGGTCTCGTCAACGAACTCATCAGCAGCCAGACACGGGCTTACGTTTCGCGGCTGTCACGGACGTACTCGGCAATTCCAATCTCAAACATTGCGCACCATCTGGGGGCACCTGCGGATGAGATCGCCGGATACATCGACACATTGATCAAGGATGGGCACCTGAACGCACGGCTAGAGGAGACGGACAAGGCGAATGCGGGGATCGTACTACGTTTCTTCTTGGACCCGACGCAAGGACCTCTGGCCAAGAGTGAGAAGCAGCAGCAACAAGCGCTGTTTGAGCAGACGCGCCGTACCAACATGCTCGCCGAGCAAGTCAAGGACGCCGACTACCGAATGACGCTTACCAAAGAGTACGTTGAGAACCAGAAGCGGCTGAACAAGAGGCAGACCAACAACGGCGATGCCATGGACACGGCGTGGGACGATGGCCTCGAAGCTGAAGAGGACATGATGACAGATTTGCACTGAAAATGAAGAGCGACGGTAGACGCATAGCAAGGGTGATTACAAGTTCACTACATGGAATTGGAAGACCGAAGAGACGGTGACTAGTGCTGACGAAGCTGAGCGTTTGGTAGGGTTGGGCATGATCAATGTCCATGACGCGATAACGGTAATGCATGAAACGAGAGATGGCGGATCCCAAGCAGCAGACATGATCAGGGACGGACCATGAAGGCTGGCAAAGCAGCCTATAGAAGGCTGCGGGGAGGCGAAAACGATGACGGACGGTCCTAACACAGACATGATGGTATCTGTAGCGAGAAGAATCACGAAAAGAAATCATGAAGCCACCAACGTGCCACGTGTTGAGAAGTTAGGTGATGCAGACTTGCTTGTTGCAATGCTTTTCGTGTCAGAAATGGCGGTAGTGGAGCGCGAATTTGGAAGTTTAGGCGTGTGTCAGTATCAGTCGATTATCGTATACGCGATACGACCGCGCTGCTGGGACCGTGTTTGATAGCAGGGCGCGACATGGGCCTCTGGAGCGCGTGGCAAACGGACCGAATTGGCGAATTGCGATGTTCGGGCGTCGGGCTGCCATGAGCGCAACTTGCGCAAGCGATTGCGAACGGGTTGGGGTTGTAGTCAGAGGTTACTTTTGACACGTCGTGTTGAGTAAACAATGCCATCGCACGACATGCAATTGTCGGCATCGGATTCGGGAGGATTCTGAGGCGCCGACGGGATTGAGCATTGGACGTTTGTTTTTGTTGCAATGGGAAACGGAAGTGGAGAGGGGGATGGAGAACGGGGAACGGGGAAGAAGCACGATGTGGACTAAGATAAGCTAGAAGAATGGACTACAGATCGCCGATGGGTGTTGAGATTGCACAGATGAGAGGGTCATGGAGCAGATTGATAGTTCTGCGGCAAGTCAGGAACCCGGGTGTTGTGCTTTGGAGGTGTGTAGAGCAGGCCGGAGACTGGGCATCCATCAAGCGCAGCCACAGGGCCTAGCTGCTAGTCTGTTCCTGCAGCAGAGGCCAGGGTCCAATTGGGAAGACCATCTGAAACGTACTGTCTGGGAGCGTCGTAGGTAATGGAATCTTCAGGCCGCCCAACGAGGCCGCCCACTGCAGACACGATGGCGAGGCGGGACGTCTAGAGCCCCTAAAGCAGAGGGACTAGGCCGAGGGATTTGCGTGCAGCGTGTCGTGGGCTCAGTTGGTGTTCGTCCGGGCACTGGCTAGCACGATAGAGAGAGGCAGCCGGGTCGGCCGGGCAGGACAGGGGTAGAGACCCTCTGGGCTAAGCCGGGTTTGGAAGACCCCTGGGTGGCTTTGCGGGTTGCGACTTGGCGGCACTGTGCTCTCCACAGGCGGCTGCTCGTCGCTGCGTACGACATATTCGAGATACACAGCACATTGCACCACTGCTCGCGAGCACGCCGCCCGCCGCACCGCCTCCAAGCACCTCCGCCGCCCGCCTGAGCGCGTTCCTGCTTGTGGCAACCATGCCTGCATGCGCCGTGCATTAACCGCTGGCTTGGCCTGAGACACGCTTTCCTGCCTCGACACCCGTGGACGTCGACGCCGACAACATGAATATCCAGGCCACGCCGCCCCCGGCCACGACCTCACGACGCCGCTCGAGCGCTGCCAACGGCGCTGCAGAGGCCATTGCCGCCGCCGCCACCGCCTCTGCCAACCTCAACCGCTGGTCCCAGGCCCCGGGCACCCAGGCCGGCAGGAGCGACCACCCGCACCACCAGCACCACCCGAGTTTCTCGCGCAAGCTGAGCATCACCACGCCCAACACCGCCACGCCTACCTCTGCCGCCAATGGCCCCGAATCCCCCGCTCGCATCGCCAATTCTGCCCCTCGCTCGCCCACCGCGAGCCCCCGCCGACACCGCCCACGCTCGCCCGCATACGACCCCCCATCCGCCGTGACAGCCGCCCCAAAGGTGCCCCAGCTGCCCCCGATCCTGCTGCCCTCGACCGTCTACGACCCCAACACCCCCACGAGCACCTCGACCACCAACAACTCGCCCTCGGCCTCTAGCCTCTTTACCCCGAACCTGCTCTCCGGCCTCCAGCAGCGCGACTACTTCAACTCGAAACCCACGCAGCCGCCGCCCTCCCAGAGGCCCCCGTCTCGCACCACCAAGGCCGAAAAGGTGCTGGGCAAGTCGCCCCTCGGGTCGCCTGCGGTCCTTCAGGAGGCTGACCCAAGGCACGACTCCACTTCGGGCGCAGCTCGGCCCTCTACAGCACGCAGACCCTCCGTTGCAGCACCTAGGGATCCCGTCCAAAAGCCCCCACCGAGTGCGGGCCACAGACCAGCCGCCTCGCGGGACCACTCCAGGAGCCAGAGCAGAGAACAGTTCAGGTCCGGGAGCAGAGCACATGTCCGCAGCCCCAGCAGGGATCACCATCGCAACGAGAGCAACGCCAGCGCTAGGCTAGACGACAGCTACCAGGGCACGCCTCCCCGCACACGCGAGCGCAGAGAGAAAGACAAGAAGACGATGCTGTCGCGTGCCCTGCAAAAGGCGAATACCGCTGTCCTGCTCGACAATGCGCAAAACTTCGAGGGCGCCATGGAGGCGTACGAGGATGCCTGCAAGCTCCTCCAGCAGGTCATGATCCGCAGCTCGCAGGAAGAGGACAGGCGGAAGCTGGACGCCATTGTAAGTCACTGCATACATTATCTGTAAAGATTCACCACTGACTCCAGTA